AATAGCCAAGCACTTAAAGCGATATCTGCTTATGAGAGGACCTGTACTGATTACGGACCTTGGATTCATCTTTCCGAATAGGAATCGCTTCGCTTTAATAGCACTTGGTAGCATATTGGAATTGTTCAATATCATTGGGCTATGTGACCCGTTGTGACAGAGGGGAGGGCACAATAGATGTTGTTGTTGTTATAACGATTATCTAATCCCCGTTTGGGTGATAAATTCTAGATTCGTTGTCGTCGAGGTCATCTAACGGAAGGCCCAGGAAACGAGCTGTTTCGACGGGGTCGGACCATAGGGAGAGGGGTGTTAGATGAGTGGGGTTTGTTGGGCATGCAAAGAGGTGGTTAGTGTCATGCGGAGACTCATTGCATGCAGGACATGTGTTTGGTATGTCAGGGTCTATTCTGGATAGGTAGGAGTTTAACCTGCTACAGTATCCAGAACGAAGTTGCGCGAGGGTCACTCTAGATTCGCGAGGCAACTCGAGCTCTGTGTCTGCAATGGGTGGTGGTTTGACTCGTATTACGCCATTCACTGAAAGGGAGTCGGTGAAGGTGTTAATGGCTCCACTGTGAATGGCGGTCAGTGCTTGTCTGAAGTTAGTTGCGTCCGAAGTCTGGTCGGCGTGCTGTTTGATGTCGTCGACGTAGTCAAGGAAGGACCTCTTGATGTTCCTAGGAGGCTGCTCCGCTGCAAGCAGGCGTCTGCAGGGGTGGTTCCTGCGAAAACATCCCAGCAGAAACTGCTTGGAGAGGAGCTCGTTATGTTCCTTAACCGGAAGCATACGGGCCTCACTATGTAGGTGTTCGATTGGGGACATCAAGAGGCACCCCGTGATAGTCCGGAGTGCAGTGTTCTGACAAGTCTGAAGCTTCTTATTCTGCGTGTCACTGCATCCAGGCGACCATATTGCGGCTGCATAATTGACGACCGGCCGGCCGATTGCCTTGTATGTTACCAACAACCTTTCTTTGTCCTTTCCCCATGAGCTGCCGGCAAGCGACTTGAGGATTTTGTTGCGGCTCTGTACTTTGGCAGTTATCGCGGTCGTATGGGGAGTGAAAGAGCACAGACTGTCCAAAGTGACGCCTAAAATTTTAGGGTTATTTACTGTCGGAATTTTTGTGCCATCGACTGAAATGTTCAGGTCCAGTCTGTACTCCTTCGTCCAATTGGTGAAGATGGTCGCTGTGGATTTAGTGGGGAGAGTGTTAAGTTCCTTGCAGAAAAGAAGCGAGAAAGATCGGAGAGGTAGCCGTTTACTTTGAACACATGCCATCGATTCCATTGCCCGACGTCAATATCGTACAGTCATCTGCGTACGAGGTCATTGAAATTCCGCTGGTGGCTGGGGAGTTTTAAAATGTAGAAATTAAACAGTAGGGGAGAGGACACCGCCCTGCGGAACCCCTGTTTAATTTTCCTGAGTTTGGAGTTTTGACCTCGAAATAGTACGGATGAGTGTCGACCGCTCAGGTAGTTCATGTCCACCGCTTCAGCCCTGGAGGGAGCGTTGATTGTTCCAGGTCCTCAAGTAGCGTTGCGTGATTGACTGTGTCAAAAGCTTTTGACAAGTCCAACGCTACGAGGATCGTCCTCTCGCAGGGTGGCTTCTGGTTCAGGCATGAACTTCTGGGCGTTTATGACGCTAAGTGCTGTGGTGGTACTGTGCACTTTACGGAAGCCATGCTGATGGTCTGCTAGGCTCAGGTGGTGGGTGAATGACGGAGTAACAAGGCCTCAAGTGTCTTCACTACTGGGAAAGGAGAGTTATCGGGCGATAAGACTCCCCTTTGTTGGCGGGTTTCCCAGGTTTCAGCAGTGGGACCACTCTTCCGACTTTCCACACATCGGGTATTTGAAGAGTGGATATCGACAGGTTGAGGACCTTGGTGAGTAGTTTACTCCCGTTGGGCTAGATGTTTTAACATCAGCATGCTTATTCCGTCAGGGCCGATGGATTTAGACGATTTCGCCTTTTTGATGACACTCTGAACCTTCCCATCGGTGAAAGTAAGTGGTGCGCAGTCTTTTGCCATTTTGCGCAGCCGTCGGGTAACACATCGTTTGGCCTTGTCGGTCGAAGGGTGCAGTATAAACTGCCGGCTAAAGTAGCTCGCGCACTTCTTCGGCGTCGGAGGCATGGCCATCAATTGAATTTCAACCCGATCGTCATGTTTCCTCGGATTTGACAGGGCCTTGACAGTAGTCCAAAGCTTACTCACACCGGTGGAGAGGTTGCAGGACTTCAGGTGCTCTATCCATTTTGTCCGCTTATGATGGTTTACCATTTGCCGAATCTCCAAATTCAGATCCCTTATTCGGGGATCACAGGGATCGGCATGGCGTAAGGTGTCGCGCTCATTTGCTAATACAGCTGCTTCGGCTGGGAAATTAGGGCGGAGTTCCGCTATTCTTCCAGCCGGTATGAAGCGAGCTGTAGCAGCAGCGATCACCTTGCGGAATTGACGCTCGCCAACGATGACGTCCGTAGGAATGGATAGTGCGTTGAAGGTGCTCTCAGTAAATTCTGTGAAGCCGACCCAGTTAGCTTTGTTAAAGTTAACATAGGTGCGGTTATCCACAGAAATAAAGTCAGGAGGTTTCTCGATCGAGATAATTATGGGCAGATGGTCTGATGCAAGAGTTAGCATAGGTCGCCAGGTTATACTATTTATCAGACCACCGCTAGCGATGGTAATATCTGGCGAGCTATTACAGGTGCCCATAATTCTGGTGGGGGCTTCGTCGTTCATTGTGCAGAATGTCGAATCGTCTATCTGTTCCAAACTCCAGCCAGCTCCATCCCCCTACGATCGTTTGACAGGCAGGAATGCCAAAGATCGTGATGCGCGTTAAAGTCGCCTAGCACCAGACGGTTTTCACCACGAAGTAGCGCATCTATATTCGGGTGATATCCTGTACGGCAACATGTAACTGGGGGGATGTATATGTTAAATATCTCGAGCTCGACATCGCCTGACCGGACAGCTATACCCTGACATTCAAGGGTGGTGTCCCTACGGTCGATGTCACCATCGATTAAACGATATTGCACGGTGTTGTGCAATATGAAGGCTAGGCCTCCACCATTATCTCGCTCGCGATCCTTACGTAAAACGTTGAAACCTGCACAACTCAGAAGATCTGAGCGGCTGTTTAACTTGGTTTCTTGACCGCAGCTATCGTTACGGCGTCCCGGTCATAAATGCAACTATCTCCTCGATCTTGTCCTGGAGTCCGTTGCAGTTAAATTGTAAGAGTCGCGTTTGTCGCGGGTGTCCAGTCGTGATCCTAGGGGTGAGTGGGGTGCGTGTAGGTGGTGGTTGTTGCAGCTGTGCTATCCGCATGGGCGGTTGTCGCACTATGGTGTTGGTTGGCGACGCCACTGTTTGTGATTGCGGGGGCAGACTCCCACAGCATGGGGCAACATACGACGCACTCCACTCTCGTGTGGTGCGCAGGCCAGAACACGACAGAAAGTGACCCCAGCCAGTACAAGAATTGCACTTGACTGATGTGACATTCCGGTGTATTATGGTCTGACACACGGAACAGACTGTGCGAGGAACCAGGAGTTGCTGTGTGGTTCTCGCACGAGGATTGGAGCTGGATGAAGGTTGGGGGGGGAGGTTGGTCAGATTGGGAGTTATGCTGCCTATGTGAGCTCCTTAGGACCGTGGAGGTCCTATCTTGGCCACTCGACTGGAGTGGCAGCGCAGTGCGCGAACATGTGCAGGTTGCACGGCCGTTGAGGCAGATGTCGCATTATACGTTGCAGCATGGGGCCACGTAACTCGTGGTCCACTCCCTGTGTGTCTTAAGGCCCGAGCAGGTCTTAAGATGGCTCCATCCATTGCATGTATTGCACTAACCGAGGTGGAATTTGGATGGAGCCTTTTTGCGCATACGCAGCAGTAGAATATCTCGGGGCCCGGGTTGGACTCGATGCCAGCACGGGTCAGGAGGATACGGAGCAACCCTGCTGCTAGGCGTTGCTCCAGTGACGACAAACTTAATCTAAAACTTACCGATCCAAACAGGGTTAGATCGTCGAAATAACAGCCCTTGGCCGGATAAAATCCGGGTCAATTCCGGTATCGCAGAACTGGCTGTTGTGGGAATTGAGGGCACAATAGATCTTAGGTCACGGTGCAAACCTCAATTCAATATCTTTACATAAACAAACATCCGTTAAGTGAACAAAACTATTATACTCTGTAGCAGTATAAAAAATATTTACTTTTAACAAACAAATAAAAGAATAACCAATGCTCTGTTTGCACATACAACAATGAAGTTTAAAACTACTAGAAGTGCAATATCTCACTAAAGCTTAACTCATAATCAGTAAGATACAATAAAGATAGAACAAAATGACCCTTTTAGAAATGGGTGTAAAAATTAAACAATGGATGTGCCTCCACCAACTTTTAAGCGTAATCTTATATCTCAGGAACTGCTAGAACATAACATTATCCTGTCATGTTCATGTTAAATCATAAAAATTGGCAATATTGGAGTACAACCCATATAATACAATTTTAAAACCCATCAGATGCTTTGACTTTACAGAATATAAATCAAGCACCCATGAATATATCGGTTCACAACTTAAGACAAATATAACCAGATATCCGTCATCGAAAAATAGTCGAAATCGCTTTGAAGACTTTTCAATCCCTCAGATACCAAATATGCCTCTGGCTGACTTCATACTGACAATATCAACAGATGTCAGATTTTTTAATACAAAGTTTTGCCAACATCTGAAAATATTTCACCACTCTAGAGCCTCACAAATGTCGAAAGTTAACATTATCGGCTATACTCGGTCTTAGTCTTTCCTTACTTATTGAATATATACACTGTTGTTGGGGAAACCAGCTCTATAAAATAGAACCCAAGATATTTGACAAAATACTCCTAACTAAACAAATTGGTTAGCGTGAAATTGTAAATCCGACAATTAACTTTTTTAAAAAGTAATTCAATGTATATACGATAAAGTAGTGTACCAGGTATTTGACAAACTATTTATATTTTTAACATTTGTAAAATTTATTCAATTGGTATTAGGGTTAATAGTAAAAAGATTACAAGCGTTGACGTCATAAAACCCAAATCGTTGTACTTACAGAGAAAATATTAATAAAATCATTAATTATATTCCTGTTTTCTTGCGTTTCTTATTACAATCATTATCTGTTAAATCTGTATTAAGAGATACAGGATCTGTTACATTTTTAATGTGAAGCTATAAACTGCGCAAGTCTGTCATTTAAGAAACCATATTCTTAAAAATTTATCACAAGTTTCTAATTCTTCTGTATGATAAATAAATGGAACCTGCTAAAACCAAATAAAAATAAAATTAAAATAAGCTTCAGATATTATTTCGAGAGATAATAGGAATACCTTTTTACTAGCGGTGACAGTATACTAGTTCTCTCGGCCTTCTTTAAGTTAAGAAAATTTTAACTTATTATTTTTTTCCAAACAAATACTCGCTCGCTCACAAAACTTTTGTCAATAGTTTTTTTCACAACAAATACTCGCCTATTTTCTATTGAAATTTTTTTGATTAATAATAAAGAAATTATTTTAAGTCGAAATATTTTTGAAGTCTTAAATAAGTATTTGAAGTGCAAAATGTAATTAAAATTTTAAGCTGTTTCAACGATAAAATAGCGCAAACATATGGCAATCAACCAATTAGCGACAGGCAGCATCTATCAAAAATTAAAATAAACAGGTTCTTATGGACACAGTTATTTAGATAGCAGCACGTCTTCACGGCAGAGGCTTGTAGTTGTCGCTGTCGCTAAATTAAAAACAGTTTTGTATGTATTGTAAATGTAAAATTATTCAAAGCTCTAACTAGTCTAACGTTATTTTACCAGCAGAAGCATAAAATAGGTCTGATATACCATTTGTAATAACAATTGATAATTAAAACAAATGAATCGACATTTACTTATCTTTTGCACAAAATCACTTTGAATAAAATATTTAAATTTCATTTAAGTGAAAAGTTTTAGTACGGCAACAACGAAATTGTGTGTTGTGCTGTCGTGTTTGTATTCAAAACATGAGTTGGTATGACACAGAGTAAAAATGTCTAATTTAGAACTGAATACAAAAGAAAAAATATTAAATCATATTTAAGGGAACTCATCTAGATAAATTTCTTTACTGATATATCTTACCTTTGATAGCTTAGGAAATTCGAAACAAATACAAATTTTGTTTGAAGTTGACGTAAAAAGCTTTCATCCAAAACGGCAGGTAATTGAGTATTTATGATATCCGTAAGAGAACAGTAATTGTCATATTGCATATTATTAAATACATCCATTCCCAAGATAGTTGCATTATCGGTACTTGAATTAATTACATTTTTGCTAGTTATTGTTGATTGGATTGGGTAGCCGAGTCTTTCCAATTTTGCAATATTTATAAATATACTACTATGCATATATTTACATTGTTGTGTATATTCCCCATTACGAAATAATATAAAGGTCAATACACTTGTGTTTGATGATGGGAGTGTACCAAGAATTCCTACGTTTGAGGTTTTGAAATCGGTGTCAATACTTTGTTCAATTATTTCAAATTCTCTTTGATCCACGAAGTTTATTTGAAAATAACTCACATCATTCGTAATGGTAGTGACGATAAAATCAGAGGGGGATATGAATTGGATTCCTATTCAATAGAAAATAAGAAAGTTATTTTGCTACGTTAACAGAAAAAATTTTACCTGTTACTTTTATCCCACCAATATGCAGCTCTTTACAATGCATAACTTCACCTTTAGTAGTCAACGAGTATAGGATTATATTAGGACCTTTATTAAAAGCGACTAGATATATACTGGCAGAAAACTTATTTACAATTACTTTGCTGCAAACTATATTATCTTTTTTATTCCATAAATCTTCCAATGGAGTTATAATAGGCATATCATTCATTAGATTTACTGAAAATAATTGCAAAATACCATCTCTAGTACCAATAAGCAAAAAATTGTCAAATAAATTTATGTCATATATTTTTTCGAGTGTTTTTGTTATACAAATGTCTTTTATATTTGCACTTTTTGCATCTTGGAACAAAATAATTGCTATATATCCATTCTCAAACGATACCAATAATATTGGTTCCTTTTGATGCCAAGCAGCTGCAGTTATGTAGCAGTCAACAGCATGTCTTCTTGTGAGTCCTTTGATTTTGGAGGATAATTTTTCATTAAAAAAAAATTCATTAACATTGCATATTTCATTCCAATGACGACTTGGAGCAGTCATCTTTATTAATATTTGACACAACCCACTGTTAGTTACAATAACAGCAACTGATTCTGCGGTCGGTGTATTCCATGGTGGCCGTTTAAATTGCAAAGCATTTACTTTCAGAGTTTCACAAGAAAATTTTGCCATATATGCTGACTGTAATACTTGCCGATGCTGTTCCAACAAAGTGGAGTCATTATAAGATTGTTTCAATTCGTTTTTCTTTAAGGGTTCCAAGTTATAGGTTTGAGGAATTTTAACGTAGTATAAATTATATGGCAAATCAGTTAACTCTGTTGATAAATCTAAAAGATCCAATATAATCAGCTGGTTATTGGAACATTGTAATGCTATCAGATTTTCGCTGGATATTAAGTCAAAGTCCACAAATATATCTTGTTTTACCTCCGACAAATATAATTGGGTAAGTTTCAAGGACGTCATGGCCGGTTAGCTAAAAAAAAAATACAAAGACCTTTTTCAATGTCTTTACTTTAACACATTAATCTTCCCTCACTCAATGTCTTTATCTTAGCTTAATGGCTCATTAACGGGTAAAAGTCAACTTGAAGATCACGTTGAGTTCGAAAATGGAGAAATTATTTTAATGATAGAAATAGGTCACAATTGCTGAAAAAATAGTAGCAAAAAGAAAAAACTTTAATACTGGTGGTCCTGCGGCTATACGCTTTATAAATAAAAAAATTCCATAAAAGAAATTGATTTGATTGGTCAGTCTGGCAGCTATAGTAGTCCGATCTGATTAACTTCCTCGAAGATTATACCGTTGCTTTGAATAGTAATCCAATTTCGTGAATATATCTCGTCAAAAGTTTCCATTCAAAGACTGGATTTTGATCAATCAGTTTGTAGGACATATATAGTGATCCGATCTGAACAATTTGTTCGGAGATTGTACTGTTGCGAATTTCGTGTAAATATCTCGTCTAATAAAAGTTTTCCATACAAGGACATGGTTTTGATCGTTCAATTTGTATGGCAGCTATAGTTTTCCGGTATTGGCGGTTCCGATAAATGAGCAGCTTCTTGGGGAGAAATGGACGTGTGCAAAATTTTAAATCAATATCTGAAAAACTGAGGAGCTAGTTCGGGTATATACAGACAGACGGACGAACGGATAGACAGAGTATATAACCATTAAATTGGGACTTTTATTTAACAATCCTGTGATTGAACTGAGTTATAAGTAGACGATTTATCGAGAAATCCGTTACAATACAACACAAGATTAATCGATAATATTTTGATTATCATTCTGTCTTTTGGTAGCAAAATTTAGGGATTTAGGCATGTCAATTTCCACAGCACAAATATTTTAAATATATTGATTTGTGTTAGATGAATTGCTTCTAGTAGAAATATTTTGGATATAAAACAATAATTGTCCAATGAAATTTAAAATCTTTATGGCTGGTAGGTTTTAATTAATTTGTAAGTTCGTCGCAAAAGTACTAGATTTCTGTGATTTCAATGACTCAGTTGACTGAATTTAAAGATTTAAAATTATTTAATATTAACATATAAATTACAGCGTATAGGGCTTATTACTACAATTCCCATTGTTAGTTGAATCATATTAATACATCAGTAGACAATGTGAATTCTGAAGAAAATAATATGAAAGTAAAAGAGTTTGAAAACTTCAAAGTTTTTAAAGAGCTATGTTTTTTTGTATATTAATTTATGTATGTGCGAAACCTTACTTTTTTTACTCTCGCAATTTGGAAAAATCAAAAGCAGGGAAATATTTTTAGGTGTTGTAAACCTATATATTAAGGAATGTTGCGAAAGAATTTAACATTCATTATTCGGTGAAAGGGTGAAAGCATTACAATCATATTTGGTATCTTATTAAATTATATTATAGGTCGTAGACTCACTTACTCTCATTACCACATTTTGTTTCATATCCGAGATATTACTATTAAAATCAACCAAATAACGAAAATGAGATCTATGTGATGTAAATTAGACCAAAGAGGATAAGTTCACTATTTTCGGTATATGAGGAAAAAGCAACCGAAATCATTATAATGGGGATAAGAGGCTTTGACCACGCTTTAGACCAATATTATCAATATTCAGCGCTAAACCATATTATGTTTATGAAATTTCACATATATTTATGAACATAAACCTAAGATATTATACACTCTGACCGACATATAGGTGGGGTAATTTGTTGAATTACTTATTAAGAGCTGGAGAAAGTATTGACCCGATTTTACGCATTTTTGACACGAAGCTACATTAACATATTGCCAGGAAAAGACTCTCTCCGAATTTCAATAATATAACTCACAGATTGACCAATATTTTCGAAAAAGGTCACACATACACACTGATGACCACATATTCGGAATCTGTGGGCTTGAGCAATTATGATCCGCTTATGACCATGTTTATACTTGATAGCATATCATAAAGGCACTATTTATGCAAAGTTTTATCCCAATATATTGTTTGCTGCTTCATTTGTATAAGGTAAGCTAGAAGAATCATATACAAGTATATAACACTGGCAAACACTGTTGTTGTCACACGAAGTATGTGATGATTTTTGTTTATGGTGGTGTACCCCAAAGAATTGCATGAGTGCCTACTTTTCTTACTCAAAGTATACTTGCTTTAAAATCAGTCACTATCAGGCGATGGTCACTAACACTCATAAACATGATGTTGTGCAAATATCTACATATATTATATATTGATAACGACAGTTTCTGTTATGTGTGTGGAGAATTAACTTTAAAATCTCAGCGTCGTAATTTCACGTCATTAAGTGCTATATTTTGGATTTCCTGTGAGGATTCAAAATAAATCCTGTGTTTCACATAAATGTTGTGTAAGGTGTGCGAGACTGCTATTAGGTTGGGCTAAACAAGAACTCAGACACATGCCATTTGCTTTACCAATGATATAGACTGAACCAAAATATCATGTAAGTGATGCAGAGAAGTGTGTTGTGTTCCTTAACTGGAAACATTCGGCCTCACTGTAAATATGTTTGATGGGAGACATCAGGAAACATCCTGTTATAGCCTGAAGTGCGGTGTTCTGGCAGGTCCGTATCTTCTCATCTGAGTCTTGCTACATCTAGACGACCATATTGGTGTGGTTCCGTGAGAAGTTGAATGCCTTGGTGAGATGACTTACATACTTATACCATCTGGGCCCATGAATTTAGATGCCTCCGCTTTGTTGATGGCACTCTGAATTCATCGTCAGGCTTGTCCACCCAAGGGTGCAGTATGAATAGTCGAATATAAGGGCGCGCACACTTCTTCGGGTCTGAGACGCCAAGTACAAAACATAGATAGTTAGTTGAGGGTATTTGAGAAAATATACATAAAAAAAAAAAAATATAAATATATATAATATATAGGGAGTTGTGGTAGCAGTTACTGGTGAGGGAGTTGCGGAGATCAAAATCCAAAATTACAAGACTAAATGTTTCTTGATGTTATTTTGTTGTTGTTGTTGTAACGGTTATCTAGTCCCCGTTTGGATGGTAAGTGATAGTTTGGTTGTCGCCAAGGTCATCTAACGGGAGGCTTAAGAAACGGGCTGTTTCGACGGTGTTAATGGCTCCACTGTGAATGGCGGTCAGTGATTGTCTGTAGTTCGTTGCGTCCGAAGTCCGGTCGGCGTACTGTCTGATGTCGTCGACGTAACAAGGAATAAGCTCTTGATGTTCCTAGGAGGCGGTTTCGCTTCAAGCAGGCGACTACAGAAATTGCTTGGAGAAGAGCTCATTATGTTCCTTAACCGGAAGCATAAGAGCCTCACTATGTAGGTGTTCAATTGGGGACATCAAGAGGCACCCCGTGATAGTCCGGAGTGCAGTGTTTTGACAAGTCTGAAGCTTCCTCGTCTGCGTTGCACTACAACCAGGCGACCAAATTGGAGATGCGTAGTTAGGACCGGCCGGCCGATTGCCTTGTAAGTTGTCAAGAACGTATCTTTGTCTTTTCCCCAAGAGCTGCCGGCAAGCGACTTAGGATTTTGTTGCGGCTCTGTACTTTGGCAATTATCGCGGTCGTGTGAGGAGTGAAGGAGCACAGACTGTCCAATGTGACGCCTAAAATTTTAGGGTTATTTACTGTCGGAATTTTTGTGCCATCTACTGAAATGTTCAGGTCCAGTCTGTACTCCTTCGTCCAATTTGTGAAGATGGTCGCTGTGGATTTAGTGGGGGAGTCATCAGCGTACGAGGTCACTGAAATTCCTGCTGGTGGCTGGGGGAGTTTCGTAATATAGAAATTAAACAGTAGTGGGGAGAGGACACCGCCCTGCGGAACCCCCTGTTTAATTTCCTAAGTTTGGAGTTTTGACCTCGAAACAGTACGGATAAATGCCGACCGCTCAGGTAGTTCACAGTCCACCGCTTCAGCCCTGGAGGAAGCGTTGATTGTTCTAGGTCCTCAAGTAGCGTTGTGCGATTGACTGTGTAAAAAGCTTTTGACAAGTCCAACGCTACGAGGATCGTCCTCTCGCAGGGTGGCTTCTGGTTCAGGTCATGAACCATCTGCGTTTATGACGCTAAGTGCTGTGGTGGTGCTGTGCACTTTTCGGAAGCCATGCTGATGGTCTGCTAGACTCAGGGGATGAGTGAATGGCGGGAGTAACAAGGCCTCAAGTGTCTTCACTACTGGAGAAAGGAGAGTTATCGGGCGATAAGACTTTGTTGGCGGGTTCCCCAGGTTTCAGTAGTGGGACCACTCTTCCGACTTTCCACACATCGGGTATGTGAAGAGTGGACATCGACAAGTTAAGGACCTTGGTGAGATAGTTTACTCCCGTTGGGCCCAGGTGTTTTAGCATCAGCATGCTTATTCCGTCAGGGCCGATGGATTTAGACGATTTCGCCTTTTTGATGACACTCTGAACCTCCTCATCGGTGAAAGTAAGTGGTGTGCAGTCTTTTGGCATTTTGCGCAGCCGTCGGGTAATACATCGTTTGGCCATGTCGGTCGAAGGGTGCAGTGTAAACTGCCGGCTAAAATAGCACGCGCACTTCTTCGTCTTCATCGAATTGAATTTGAACCCGCTCGTCATGTCTCCTCGGATTAGACAAGGCCTTGACACTATTCCAAAGCTTACTCACACCGGTGGAGAGATTACAGGACTTCAGGTGTTCCACCCATTTTGTCCGGTTATGTTGGTTTACCATTTGCCGAATCTCCAAATTGTGATACCTTATTCGGGGATCACAGGGATCGGCATGGCGTAAGGTGTCGCGCTCGTTTGCTAATACAGCTGCTTCGGCTGGGAAATTTGGGCGGAGCTCCGCAATTCTACCAGCCGGTATGAAGCGAGCGGTAGCAGCAGCGATCACCTTGCGGAATTGACGCTCGCCAACGATGACGTCCGTAGGAATGGGTAGTGTTAAGTAAAGTTAATGAAAGTGCGGTTGTCCACAGAAATAAGGTC